GGGGGATCTTTGTCTTTGTGTGCCGTTCCGAGCTTAATAGGTGCTCTCTGACAGCACATGCCCCAATCAGCCTATTAACACTGAAGGGGGAATCTTTTGTCGATGTTGAAAAGGGCGCATTGCCTGAAACGTCGCCCTATTACAAATTCGCCTTTCAAGGCCACGCTGTTACTGAGCGCGTTGAGCTCTGTGTAGAACGGGGTCCGATTGGTGTCGTCGTGCACTCCAGGACGAGTGACCCCTCCACACAATCAGGTTGCCATAGTGATCCGCGGTGCTTCTTTTGCGGGCAGCAGACGGGAGTGCGCCGAGTGCAGCAATATCCATCATTGCGGCGGTACAATCCACACTGACCATGGCGGTGAAGTATGGTCAAGTAAACCCCGCGACCCGCAGCAGGCGTGTCGAGGCCTTCATGCAGCAGTGGATCGCTAAGAGGCGCGTACACGTACACATAGGCCAGGATAGAAGTGAACGTAGATTGGCTCTGATCTGCATCTGGCGCGGTGATGATCCGTGTCGACATTTGCACTGGGGAGACAAAGGTGGCCAGGTGTGCTGCAACGCGCCAACCCCAAAAAGGTGCTCGCAGATCAATTCCCCGACCGGCACTGCTTCTATCTGGGCTGTGGAGCAAATACGTTCGGCCATTGAGAGAGAGAGAGAGTGTACACGCACGCACGCACACGTGCGCACACACGCACACGTGCGCACACACGCCACAATCATTAGAGAGCAGGCTCGCCAGCTGAGCTCTGGCCCAGCTGCAGGCGACCCGCGGTCTGGGTGGATGTCACCAGAGGTGGAGATGGTGGGAGGAGGGCATGGGTCGAGAAGGGGGCGGGTGGTGTGGGAGGAGGGGAGATTATTTATAGGGCACGGTCGGAGTGTGGGGCTGTAGTGCAAGGAAGTGCATCTCTCCCCAGCTCGTGAGATGTCAGTGAATTAATACAAAATAATGCCGTTAATGCTCAGAGTTTTTATTTATTTCTTCACATCGAGTGCTTTTGTTGTTCGGTTGTGTGTGTGTGTGCGTTAAAAATGACTGCGATGTCAAAAAAACGATGTCTCGACTACGCAAACGGCCGGGCTCACAACGAGCGTTGGCGTGGCACCCACACGCATCGGAAGCATCGACTCGACCAACCAATCATCGCACACGCCAATAAACAAAACACGCAGGACGATCGGGATTCACACAGACGGCATCTACGTGCACGTGCCCGTGTGTCAAGATGCTGTACGCGAACGGTGAACGTAGCTACTTTCCCAACGCGCTTCAAAAAACCCTAGAGGGAAAGAGGTTTTTTTAAAATGCAAATTTAGCTCCCGCCGTCGAGCGCCTCTCGCGTGTCTGGCCATGAGCCCCGCTCGATTTTTATCTCCGAGAAGAGGGGAGAGTGTGCGTAGGAACACGCGGTAGGAGCAAGAAATAATTCCAGGCGAAGTAATTCTAAGCACAGGGCAGTGAAATAATTCCAGGCTGAACCTGGAATTTTGACTTAAAGCTTTCGTGACTGCAGGAATTCATATTCTTTGAGTCTTTCGGTAAAGTCACGTGTTAATTATTTTGTTCTACGTGACTTTACCGAAAAACCCAAAGAAATATTAACCTGGAATTGTTTGGAAACGGTGCGTTTAGAGTATTTGGCCGCTATAAATTTCCACGTGATGAGCCACTTTGTCGAGCTATTATTTGTGGCCAGGTCCCTTCTGAAAAAGCGACATTGCTCAGTGGGCCTGACCTGATCAAATAAAATAAAGGCGTGGGAGAAGCGGAAATATACCAGTGGACTAATAGGGGACTGTAATCCAGTGTACGATTGTGCTTCGTCATGGCCCGCGTGTGCATCGGAATTGTCCGCTGTCGAGTGCAAATCCTCGTTGGAGATGCCTCCTGCCCTGTCACCTCTCCAGGGTGCCCGAAATGCGAAACTACACTGTGCAGCCGCTGAGCTTCATGAGACGTGAACCGCAATCGTCCTCCGGTGGGACTGGTAACTAAAATGGGAATTGTGGAATTTTACAACGCTGCCTCCACCACCACTACCGCCGAAATACTGATGAGAACACAGAGGCGCAGGCTGCGATGGCTCGGAGAGGCCGCGCGTGTTTCTTCTGCAGAGGCACGGAGGATGATCAGGAGGAGGGGGGCGAGCAAGCGGAGGGAAACGGAGCGGTACAAACGGCGAACCCAAGCGCTCGAAAAACGAGCGGCGAGGCACAGCAGAAATAACAATCCTGAAATGTTTTAATCGCGTGCCAGATAATGAAACGTGCCGCTGCAGGTGTGAATAATTAACTTTCCATTAGCCTGAATCTACAGAGATTGTGCCCGCGTGCGCGCGTGCGTTCAATATCACGCAAATCTCGTCCGACAGACTCACTGCACGCGAACACAGGAGCCGTGCCTTTCCGATCCTCCCTCCATCCGAGGGGTTTGGCCGCGAGGTGATCTACTCAACGCCACAGGGCCTTCGGCAGCTCTTGCGAGGAGTTGTGCCACGCTGAGCCGCCCTGTTCAAGCAGCAGCAGCAGCGTCATCAATCCCAGTCCTTCTGGGTCGGCCTCGGCCTCCATACAAAAGAGCATGGATGTTTAAGCCTACGCGTTAAGCTGATTTCTCTTTCGTTTTGGTAATCCCCCCCCCCCCCCGCCAGCACCTCCTCCGCCTCCTCCTCCCTCCAAGCAAAGGCACAGTTATCGAGTGTGCAGGCGGTGCAACTGCACCAGGTCCCACGTGCTGACGGGGCCCAGCCGCTGGGCCGGGGCTACCAAGGGCCGAGGGCATGTGCTGAGGACAGTGTCGGTATTCCTGGCAGCGGGCTGTTTGTGAATAAGGGGCGCGCTGGCTGTAATTAGCGCTCGCAAGCGTAGTCCTCTCAGTCGCAGCGGCGATGAGAGTGCGAGGTGGGTTGTTGGGGTGGTGGTTGTGGTGGTTGTGAGCGGTGGTGTAGCGGTACGCGTGCTGCACTACGAACCTGGCAACACAAGTTCGATTCCCGTTCACGGCCAACACCAGTGACGATTATCTGAACCAGTCCTGGGCCTCCTCTAGGTCGACTCGGCCTCAAATCAGTACCTGGTGCGGTGTGTAAGCATTGCCACTAGGGAGACAAAGGCGGTCGGGCGTGGTGCTGGCCACCCACCTCCTCGTGTACCGTTCCGGCCTTCATAGGTGCTCGCTAATAGCACTTGCCCCTACAGTCTGTGAAGGCTATACGGGGGATCTTTGTCTTTGTGTGTTGTTGTGGTGGTGGTGGAGAGGGGAGAGTGAACACATTGCACGTCTGTCTCCGAAAGAAGACGCCACCGATTCCCTTCCAGCTCACTCACTGCGCAAGGGGCGTTGGGGACGAGTGACGGAGCAGGCGCGGGGGAGCGTTGGGCCCTGAATTCGCCGGTTAAATCAAATCTCTCCCACGTGTCGCCCCAACAGGGGAGGCGATGGGGGAGCGGGAGAGGCCTGGGCAGCAGGGGTGGGAGGTGGGCAGCTTCCTGGTTTGTTTTATTTTTTTGCATGCGCCTACCTCCGCCGCTGGATGAGGGCCGATGCTGCCTGGATACGAATCCAGAATCTCAACGCAGCCAGCTCTGACCTCTGAGCCACCCGGCCTTCCTAAGAGAAACGTTCTTACGCGGGGGGGGGGGGGGGCTCTCTGCCTCACCGCCTCTGACAGGCCTCGAATTGTGACTCGAGGCGTCACGCTCGTGGAGTTTTGGGTTGTGAGTGTGAGCAGGCGAATTTAAATGCCCAGATGGCTGCTGAGTTACATTTGGGCATTAATTCGTGGCACGAATTAATCACGCAGCCAAGCATTGGCGCACCTCTCACCCCCTTCACTCTCCTTCCCCCCACCCCGCCATCCCACCCGGTCTATTCAATTAAAGGGGCATACAGCAAGAATGTCGTAATTGCGTTGGGGTTTTTTAAGATGCTGATTTCAATTGCGGTAATTGACGGTCGGTGACAACGTTGGCGATTATTTGTGAAGAGGAGGATCGGGGATGGGGGGGGGGCAGAGACAATGGGGGGAGTGGCGACGCCTGCACGTTGTTGGGTGTCTCGCTGAACTCTCCTCCCTTGGTCACCATCCTCTCGACCGGGCGCATTTCAACTTTGACGGAGCGTGCATCATCATCATCATCATCGTCGTCGTCATCATCAACTCGTGGCTTATAATCACGCCCGCCCCGAGGAACGAAAGGCCCCGCAAGCATGCTAATTAGCCCGCGCAGCTCCGTGAATACAACATCACTCTCGACGAAGGTCACAGCTAAAACGGATTTTAAAACAAAATAGAACTAAAAGCAGCTGGGTCCGCCGATGCGCCCAGCTAATTATTTCAAACGGGCCAAATCGTTTTTCTTACCAAGAGTACTGAGCGAGAGGGATTATCCACCAATTATTCAATCAAATCATTCTCAGTCTACCAAAGGGTGAAGGCGTCCCCTAGGTGCCATGGTGGGAAGGGGGATTTACTTTGACCAGACTTTACGGCGCTGGTCAGCGCGTGTTGGTGAAGGGGTGGACAAGTGCAGGACCGGTTCCCTTACGTGCCACTGATGTTATAGCCGTGGCCACAAATCCAACGCAAATCGCCGGGTTCACAGTGAGAAATAAAACATTCAAATACGCTCTGTAACGCACAGAGCGAACTCTACGAATGTCTGAACGGAGGGCCGACTGCTCCTGCTGACCCCCCCCACACCTCTGCCTGCCCCTTCCCTCTCGGCACTCCTCGGTGGTGGTGGGGGGGGGGGTCGGGTTGCCGCCTGTCTGGTTTCAACACCGGACAAGCCCGAAAACTGGCATCAGCGTTTTGGGCGGCAGGAATTGATTTGATGGTGTCGGCGTTGCATTGTACTCCACCGCAGGAACAACTGCAAAGTTGTTGATGGAGCCGGGCTGAGTGAGGTTCCAGCCCTCGGGGGCACGGGGGGGGGGGCACGGGGGGGGCATGGGGGGGGGGGGGGCGAGGTGCACGAGGAACGCTCACCGCCTTGTAGGTGCGCTTCTGCCCGGCGTGCTTGACCGCTCGCTCGTTGCCCCCGGCCGTCTCCACGTGGATGGAGTAGATGATGTCGTAGAAGTCCTCCACCACGGCCACGCGTCTCAGGCTCGCGCCGTCCGCCACCGTGCCGTCTCCCAGCTGGTCCCGCGGTTGGGGGGGGGGGAGGGGTGGGGGACAAACGCACAAACAGAACACGCAGACCGACGCCAACGTCATCCAATGGTCCACTAACGTCCCACCAATGTCGACAAAAAACACCAACGGGTCTCGCTGCCGGCGTTCGCTCCTAGGCTCTCCGAAGGGAGGGGGGACGACTCAAGAGGCGCGAGGAGAAGGAACCACGTACGAGCGGCGAAGGCAGCAACAGCCGATGCCAAATTCCCACCCAAGCTCTGCGGTCCTCTGTATAGTAAGATGTTATCGGCCATGAGTGTTTACATGTCGGAGGAAACCGGAGCACCCGGAGCACACCGTACAGGCGGCGTGACGTGGGATTCGCATTAAGCCGTGCCGCGTTCTCCTGGCGAGCCAGGGTACGGCTCCTCCTCGGCGCCCACGGGAAGGGAGTTTCACGCCGTCGGTGCGGTGATCCACCAACCCTCGCTGTAGCTACGTGCAGCAGCAGCAGCAGCGTAGCTTACGCGATGTTGTTGCTATGTACACACGTGTCACCGTCTCCATGATTTTTTATCAAATGAATAACTCGTCATACAATGTCAACAGTGAGTGCAACATGGATGGAATCGCTCCCGCCATAGGAATGTGGAATCCCCCACTACTGGCTCAGGGCTGTAAACGGGAGATAAGCACCGCAATATTTTGTTGTGTAGATATTCGGATGGGGGGGGGGGGTCGCCCCCTTCTCGCCCCTCGCCCTCCCTCCCCCAATCGAAAACCTCCCTACTGCCCCCTGTGGTATGGAGCCCTCTGCTGCAATTAAAAGCCATGCGCTTGGTGTCTACATATTCACGTCGGTGATATTCGCCACGACGAAGTAAAAAAATGACGATTCTGTGTGGCGCATTTACACCGTTTTGTGTCAACCTCGGTAGGACCCATATCGAACGGAGAGGGCCCTTGTCGATAAACGCCCGGCAGTTTACCATCACGGGTTCAAGCATGATGATGAGACGCGGAATGTGTGGGCTGCGCGGTGGGGTGGACGCGTGCGCTTGGTTGATGTCTCGAGACATCCGTGCGTGCGTGTACGCACCCCCCCCCCGTTCCACCAATCTGCCAGTCCACTTTATAAATGAGGGCCTTCCGTCACCGGGTCACGGGGGGTCATATCACCATAGCTCCCTACGCAGCAAGTCAGTGCGGGTTTTGCAAACGCGGGTAGCTTATTAGTGGCGTCATAGAAGTACAGTACAACAATTATATATATTTTCGCCGTACTGCCAACCACACGGCTATCACGCTCGGGATCAAATCGGGAGGAAAACCGAATGAAGTTGTTTTTTTAGCAAAGTTAATCCGAGCGACACAAAGTTGATCCGAGGGACACAAAGTTGGTCGAGCGACACAAAGTTGACCGAGCCGACACAAAGTTGGCCGAGCGACACAAAGTTGATCCAAGCGACACAAAGTTGGCCGAGCGACACAAAGTTGATCCGAGCGACACAAAGTTGGTCGAGCGACACAAAGTTGATCCAAGCGACACAAAGTTGGCCGAGCGACACAAAGTTGATCCGAGCGACACAAAGTTGGTCGAGCGACACAAAGTTGGCCGAGCCGACACAAAGTTGATCCGAGCGACACAAAGTTGACCGAGCCAACACAAAGTTGGTCGAGCGACACAAAGTTTGTCGAGCGACACAAAGTTGGCCGAGCGACACAAAGTTGATCCGAGCCAACACAAAGTTGGTCGAGCGACACAAAGTTGGCCGAGCCGACACAAAGTTGATCCAAGCGACACAAAGTTGGCCGAGCGACACAAAGTGTGTCGAGCGACACAAAGTTGGCCGAGCGACACAAAGTTGGTCGAGTGACACAAAGTTGGTCGAGCGACACAAAGTTGGCCGAGCCGACACAAAGTTGATCCGAGCGACACAAAGTTGGCCGAGTGACACAAAGTTGGCCGAGCGACACAAAGTTGATCCAAGTGACACAAAGTTGATCCGAGCAACATAAAGTTGATCCAAGCGACACAAAGTTGATCCAAGCGACACAAAGTTTGTCAAGCGACACAAAGTTGGCCGAGTGACACAAAGTTGGCCGAGCGACACAAAGTTGATCCAAGTGACACAAAGTTGGCCGAGCGACACAAAGTTGATCCAAGCGACACAAAGTTGGCCGAGCGACACAAAGTTGACCGAGCCGACACAAAGTTGATCCGAGCGACACAAAGTTGATCCAAGTGACACAAAGTTGGCCGAGTGACACATAGTTGATCCAAGCGACACAAAGTTGATCCGAGCGACACAAAGTTTTATCCGAGCAACACAAAGTTGGTCGAGCGACACAAAGTTGATCCGAGCAACACAAAGTTGGTCGAGCGACACAAAGTTGGCTGAGCCGACACAAAGTTGGCCGAGCGACACAAAGTTGATCCGAGCAACACAAAGTTGATCCGAGCGACACAAAGTTTGTCGAGCGATACAAAGTTGATCCGAGCGACACAAAGTTGACCGAGCGACACAAAGTTGATCCGAGCGACACAAAGTTGGTCGAGCGACACAAAATTTGTCGAGCGACACAAAGTTAATCCAAGCGACACAAAGTTGATCCAAGCGACACAAAGTTTGTCGAGCGACACAAAGTTGATCCGAGCGACACAAAGTTGGTCGAGCCGACACAAAGTTGGCCGAGCCGACACAAAGTTAATCCAAGCGACACAAAGTTGGCCGAGCGACAAAAAGTTGGTCGAGCGACACAAAGTTGATCCAAGCGACACAAAGTTGGCCGAGCCGACACAAAGTTAATCCAAGCGACACAAAGTTGGCCGAGCGACAAAAAGTTGGTCGAGCGACACAAAGTTGATCCAAGCGACACAAAGTTGATCCAAGCGACACAAAGTTGGTCGAGCGACACAAAGTTGATCCGAGCGACACAAAGTTGGTCGAGCGACACAAAGTTGGCCGAGCCGACACAAAGTTTGTCGAGCGACGAGCCGATCCAGCGACTGCCTTTCACGGTGAAGAGGAGGATTGTATTATTTACGCTGCGCTGTCATCTCTCTCCGCAGAGCATCACGCGTGCGTGGTGGTGGTGGTGGTGGAAACCTGCCTGGGTATTTTGTGCCACCAAACACTCCCCATTGGTGATGGAGCGGTTGGGGAGAGAGTGGAGAGTTTCCCATACCTGGACAGTGTGCTTATGACCAGGTCCGGTTTGACAGCAGAGGTCTCACTCCGAATCAGTCAGGCGGCATTATATATTCATCGGCTGCGCAATGCTGTGTGGAAGCTACCTGGTGTGTGGCTCTGCACGAAGCCACAGTCATGCCCTCCCTTCTCTATGCTTCTGAAACGTTGATCCCTCTAATGGAACATCTGCGCAGGTTAGAAACATTCAGGCTCGTATGCCTACGATCCATCCGGGGTTTAACCTGCAGGCTAGATTGTGTGAGCAGCTGACAAATCCTTGGAAGATCTGAACACATTCCCATCAGTAAGCTCCTCTGGCGGGCAGGCTGCATTGGCTGGGTCTTGTAGCCCGCATGCCCAGTCACTGCATGCCCAAGCAGCTTCTGGTTGGCCAAATAGAGGGGGCTAAACGGGCACGACATGGGATGGAGAATAGATGGCCTGATGCGGTACGGGAGAATGTGGAGCTGAGTGGACTTGGCGATGACTGGTCCCAGCGGTGTCAGAATCGGCCTCTGTGGAGGAGGCTCTTGAAGGATGCTACTGGGCAGTTGGAGGCAGTCGCCCTCCAGCAACAACGGAGGGCAGAGGAGCGACGCTCACAACAACGAGCGGAGCGCCGGGCGGCTAAAATACAGTTGGTGCATCTACCAGCCGTCTCAGTCAGCCACCCCATGGCACCAGGGTCTGTCCCGAGACCTCCTGTCAGCAGCGAGTCTTCGACACTTCACGTGGCCTCAAAGTGCACCTGGCCTGGCACAGGCGCCGTGGTGACGTCACCGTCACTTAGTGGCGAGCATTGGTTTTGGTGGCAACTACTCGAGTGTTTTCACGCGCTCGCTCTCGACTGCAGAGACAACGATCCCCCGTATAGCCTGGACAGACTGTTGGGGCAAGTGCTGTTAGCGAGCACCTATGAAGGCCAGAAGGGTACACACGAGGGGGTGGGTGGCCAGCACCACGCCCGGTCGCCTTTGTCTCCCCAGTGGCGATGTTTTACACACCGCACCAGGAATGTATTTGAGGCTGAGTCGACCTAGGGGAGGCACAGGACCGGTTCAGATGATCGTCACTTGGTGTTGGCCGTGAGCGGGAATCGAACCCGGGTCGCCAGGTTCGTAGCGCAGCGTAGCGCTAACCACTACGCCACCGCTCCCCACACACAGACACGAGCTGCAGTCTGCCACCACGTCTCTCGGTCGAGGTGTCCGCGATTGTTTCCAAACAACAGGCGTCCTCTCTCCGTCACGACAATTCGCTTTCAGCCTCGTGCTTAGCTTCTCATCGCTACCGCCATCACAACCACCATCGTCATGACCTCCGTCACTCTGGAACGAATTGACCAAACATCCCTATCCCGCGGGATCGCGGGAATCTACGAGCCTCTGAAGGTAAATAAACATACAAAGGGCATTCCTATGATTTCACGTATTTATTATCATCATCATTATTTCCAGTGTTTTCCCCTTCACGGTGTCATACGTGTGACAGGCGTTGTCACGAGCGTGCCGGCTGCTCTAAAATGGATGTCAATTACCCTGCGCTGTCACGATTACACGACTGTCCCCATCATCATTATTATTACTGTTCCGCTTGTTCACCCACGAAAGCCTCGCTGAGTCTCAGGAGGCTTTCTCAGGAGCGTCCTGCCAAGTGTCGCAGTTGGGAGGCGAGGGGTGGGGGGGGTGGAGTGTGGGGCGATTGCTCTACGATTTTAGTAAAAAAATTTTGCCGAGTAATTTAATCTTTCTTTCGGGGCCAAATTTGGGCCGTGACGCCAGCAACGCACGGCCGATTCTTCTCGGAACGACGTCGCGTTATCTTGCACGC